CTCTTTCTTTTTCTACCTTTTTCTTACTGTCCTGTATCCGCCCCCGAGGTATGTTCGATCGATGACACAATTTCAAGCGTTTCGGCTATATTTTCGGAGGTCATGTTATTTTAATAATCATAAATCCTTAACAGAGGGTCGTAACATGACTTTTCCTTTAAAATTTTGGCAAAAGATATATCTACCGGTGGTGGTGCCGTCGGGGAAGAAGATAAATTTTGTCGGGGAACAAACAAATAAAAATATTATTTACAGGTAATATTCGTTTAGCCACCATATTGTTTGTGTTAACTTTTCATCACAACAACAACAATAATGATAATAATCATAATAATAATAATGAGACTAATTAAAAATAATTTGCGTTCTGTTATGACAAATGCTCATTTAGATAGCCTCATGATGGTTAGAATACATCGTGATAGGTGAAGCAACCTCGACCATGACAGGCCATGGTTGACAGATTTCATGCAAAATTTCCAAAATATAGAATTTCATTTTCAAGAATGAGGATTTGAAAATAAATTAGATGGTTACATTGCATATTCTTTGTTTCTTGCTTTATTCAGAATGTTTTGGTTTTGGGAGCTGATTTCAATATTAGAAAGCATAGCCTACATGAAGTCATAGTATAGTAACTCCAGGGGGGGTTCGGGAGAACCCCCTTTTCTAGCAAAACCCCCTCTTTTTTGGCGAACCCCCTCTTCAAATTTCCCAAACAAGTCCTCCAACCCAACTAATGCACAGACCCACCCAGACACAGACATTTTCAAACATATCTGCTTATATAGCATTATTTAGACCCATGAAGCACAAACCTCTTGCTTTGGTGGTTTCGTCGACCCCCCCACCGTGGCTTCGACTTTTGACCTCACGCCCAGAAACCCCCCCTGGAAGAACCTGGCTACGGGCCTGCACTCGATGCCTATCAAATAAGTAATAAAAATTCGCCATAATTCATCAAATACCCGCGAACGGCTCTGGGCCCTTGCCGTACGTAAATGAGGGGTTCTACTGTAATAGAAAATTTTATTTTTTGGTGACGTCACACTCAGTACTGAGTACGCGATAGTTAGCATGCATACGTCATAAGCTAGATTACGTCACCTTTTCCTGGTAAGGCCAAGATCGATAAGGCAAACTTTCCCAGCGTGCTTTTTTCATGGATAAACAAACACCAGTGCTTTGCACATGAATGCCTTGCCTAGCTAGGGCTACAAGAGCCGCATATTTAAACAAGGTACGTCTGCAACTGAATTATTCTTAGTTTAGGCAGTTAATTATTTGTTTCTTATTTTAATTTATTTCTTTCGAAAGTACTTTCTATCACATATAATTGCACTGTCTACTAGGGCCTAGCTAGGCCTAGTCATATTTACTTCATCGTCCCCCGCTATACACAGCACATCAGTAGGCTAGCCCCTCCCCCTCCCACCACGCTACAGTGCAGACGTTTGCTAGGCAACAGAACGTGATTGCACCTTTCTTCCCAGGTGTTCCTGTAAATTTGCATATTGTTAGCTA